GACTGGTTTAAATCAGGGCCGGGTTGATGAAAAGCAACAAAATCATGACATATACAAAAAAGTAATATAACACTGACAAATTTACAAATTCATATTCATTCAAATTCAAATTTTATTAGTCCAAAAGGAAATTTGTTCCGTTTATATGCATTATTCACAGAGAAAAATAAATAAACATATAGCACTTTAAAATTCTCATTATATAGATATTTCTCTGAATTTACATTATTGACAATATTTGTTCCTATATCCAGAGTAATTACTTTAACAATATAACATTGTAATTAGTATTACTTTTATCATTATCAATATTAACAGTATTGTTTGTATTTGTATTGTTATTATAAGTTTGACTCATTATATCGTTATGATAATAAAATATATATAGCCAAACAATAAACCACAAACAGTTCAACAATCAAAAAGATTTATCATAATTATTGTCTACATGGTGAAAAAATAACCATGTATATATCCTAGTAAGTTACAAATAATGTTCATAACTTCTGCGGGAATGCAATACCCTATTCTGAACGTATTGTATAAAGCAAAAGAAGCTAATGTGATTAATTGATGATAAGCATTAAGAGTATAAATATGTAAAGTAGACACAACAATATATAGAAAATAAGCTAAAAAACGTGAGTGATTAAAACTATATTTATAGAACATGAAAATCTGTTGGTATACATAGTAGAAACAAAATGAAATACAAAAACAAAAACAAAAACCAACAAACGAGCATAAGTATGTTTATCTTAAATATCAAATAATTGTTTTAAAAAATAAGTCAAATATTACACATATTTTACCATAGGACAAATGTATATTCCATATCGTGTAGCAGTAAAATAAAGTATGGAGTAATAATAAACAGTTAATGACATATGAATATGGATAAGTTAAATAAAACTTTTTAAAAAAAATCCGGTCCCAGGGGTCAATGGGTTATTACACATACATGTTCATGAATATTGGTCGCTCATATAAAGCTCATCAATAGCATATAGAAAGTGATCGAGATGTTTTGATTTAACAAAAATAAATTACTCAAGTTGTGGTTCACATATTTCTCATGAAGAGAGTTGTTCAGCTTAGGCCTAGATATATAAATTATCAGCTCAAAAACTTAATGATCAGTTCAATCATTCCACTGATACGGAATATTGGCTGCAAAAGCACTATCACCTCATGTTTTTTGTTGTACATTATTTAGATTTGAGGAGAAGAGTGTCAATTATTCCTTGATGCATGAGATACAAGTTCACATAAACTCAATACGCAAATAAGAGAAATTAATTACCAAAACAGTAACTATAAAAATGAACACATACAAAACTATTCAACGAATGATGAAAGGGTATTTTTTTTAAAGTCCCATGTGTTCAATTAACTATAAGCATATATATATATATATATATACTTTTTGCATACCACTAGGTATACAATCATAATAATGTACATTCCTGTTTAAATTTTGTTTTTTTATATTTCATGTTATCATTTTGTGAACAAAATACCGAAATACTTTAATCATCCATATGTCTCGATTGTGCGAGCATTTATAAGTGTACTTACTATATCTTACATGTATCTTAATCATACTAGGATACGGAGGATGGTGCTGAGGAGGCCCAGAAGAGGCCAAGCATTGACTATCAGGGGGCCGCAGTGCAGTCGCGATGCAAAACGTCGTTTCGTTTTGCATTACTGCAAGCAACATAGTAAGTATATGGCAAAAATTGGAAATAGAAATATAGAATCATTGCGAATATTAAAGAGTATTTTGCACAACTTCAATATATTTTGATGATCTCCTTATTTATGCAATGGTATGAACTTCTTGACATTTGAAGCACACGTAGCTGAGGAATGAGTTAGATAACTACGAAGGACAACAAATGGCTTCACTCAATATGAAATGAAAAGAGAATGTTATTGCAATAGGTAAATGAACAGGGAGAGAAGAACAAGAAAAGAGAATACAAAAGGATGAGCCTCAATATATACTTACAATGAAACATTTATTTATGAGGTGTAAATGAAGAAAAAAAAATCAACTAATCCTTGTTAAAAAAACAACTAATCCTTGTTAAAAAAAACACTGACAAGGATCACAACATACATGTAATTATCAGATGATCATGTTTGTCACGTTACTGAAGAAACTTGAGTGATAACGCTATAGGGAAAATAAAAGAACTGAAAAGGGGGATCAGAGAAATAATCGGAAGAGAAGAATGAAAAGAAAGATTGGGTATTGAAAGGATAGAAGAAAAAGAGGAAAGGAGATAAGGAAGGAAATGGAAAAGAGAAAATAGGACAAAGAGCACGAGAAGAGACGAGAGTAATTAAGGATAAGGGAAACAAAGGTCTTATACACATACATGTATATCATTAATTCAGTTTATGAATATTAATGCAGGAGCGTCTTATTGGTCCACATATCGGTCATAATTAGTTTGAAATTATTTTATCTGATTGTCCCAATAAGCATACATTGTGGACGAATACTATTATATACTTAGAAAGACAGAAGTACTCCTGGAGTGATTGCGTAGAATGGAAAATGGAAATGAATGACATGGTTCACATTAATGTGTTCTATCCCCATTGCCCAATATTCAGTTGGAAAGGACACGTGACGAAACATATGTATGACTTATTTGATCAGGTTAATCCTTGATGACATTTAAAAACTGAATTACATGTAAATGTACCTATAATGTAAACATAAATGTCTTTGTGAAGCGCCTCAATATGAAGATTTCATTCACTTGTTAAAAATAAATGTAGCTGAATAGTCAGAATTCAATGGCATACATTAGCTGTTGCTAGGTAGGACAAACATTATGCCTTACCTTACCTAAAAACACGTAATATATGCAATTTACATTCTGACTACTGAAATACAATTATTCATAGCAGTTGAATGAAATAATTCGCATCGAGACACGCAAGTATAAATTTGGCTACATTACGAAAATGGCCTATTGCAAAAGACATTAACAATGTACAAAACTGATTTTAAAGACTTATATTTTGCGAAATTTTACATTCCTATAATTTATATGCTGAAAATTGTGATAATGGACCAATTAATAGTTCAAATATATAGCAATTATATGTTCAGGGGTGTGTGAACTCTACATTTGTATTTTGGATATTCAAAATATGCAGTCCTACATTTTTCAAAAAGGATTTGTAGACAGCTATATGAAATTGACTTCGAAAAATTAAAACTGTATTTTCCACTGCCCATTTCTAAGGTGGTACTTTCCAAAGCTACACCATAGCCTTAAAGCCATCTGCCAATGCATCATTTCAAGCTTGTATATACCAGTAACCCATATATAGCATTAAATCACTTTTGCATTACTTGTTTGTGTTTGATTATTGCTCAATCTAAACACCCCAAGGGTTTCAATTGTTAAAAATATTGTTTTTGTAGTGTTTTTAAATATATCGAGGGGTCAGTGACACTAAGACGTAACTCCATTTTTGCCATTTTTAGAAAAAGTTGTTTAAAAATAGTGGTCCACTTGGGCCATAAGGAGTTAAGTCTATGTTTCACTAGCCATTGACTTCAATGGAGATGTTGGGTAGAGTGAAGTCTTTGTGTTTCTTGGAAAGCCTATTCTAGTTGTGTCCCTTCAGCCTGTGCTACTGGTCAGTTATTTTAAACAAATACAAACAAATAATAAATAATAATCCATTTCCCTACAAAATTGATGATAAGCAAAAAGTATATTAACTGCTTACATTTTCTGTCATATCCTTTATTTCACAGTCAAAATCCACGCTGGTCCGGACGCTATGGACGTGTCCGATTCAGACTAAGGACCAGTAAGTTGACTCAATCAACACTCTGAGAAATAGATATACACTGTATGAAACCATGATATATCTTCAGTTTTAACACTGATAGTATCAGCACGGATTGCCAAGGGTATTGATTTCTATTTACTTAGGAATCTATATGCAACTAAAATCACACTATGTGTGTATTTAAAGGTAATTTGGAGCTTAATTTTTAGGTTGTGAAGGGATTTGACTTAAGAATTATCTTATGATTTCTTTTTTGCCACGATCATAAAGATCTCATAGAAATCCTGTGGTGATTATTCTTTGATAATGATGCCATCTATGAACTTTGATGTTGCTATTTTCAATACTAAACATTCATGATTTGTTCTCAACATTTTCAGAAATGTTTTTTTCTGTCATTTAGACCTACTGATAAACAATTTATTTACTTCAATAATCATGTGAAATGTTAAAGACTACAAATGTCGTGGAGGAACAAAATCCATTTGACTTGATAAACAGAAATAATATTGTTTTAAATAAAATATTTTCTTCTTTTCTCCTCCAGGCAAACGTAAAATGAGAGCAATTCAAGTACGAGGACATCAATTCATCAACAACCTTCCAAACAAGAACGCCCGCCTTTCATACAGGTACAACTATTATTTTTCCGACACCCCATGATCTTGTGGATTTCCATGTATAACAGTTACCATTATATATCCTTGTACTTGAATTGCTCTTTTTTTACGTGGATTTTGAAATGTTGCTTCCCATGGCAAGAGGTTCGTTGTTGACAAAGTAAATGTATAGATGGTTGATATGGAATTCCACAATACCACTTCCTTGTTCCGCCATGCCAAGTTCTTTTCCCCCATGCCACGTTCTTTTCCCCCAATGCCACATTCTTTTCCCCCAATGCCACATTCTTTTCCTCCAATGCCACTTCCTTGCTCCCCAATGCCACGTTCTTTTCCTCCAATGCCACTTCCTTTTCCACCAATGCCACTTCCTTGCTCCCCAATGCCACGTTCTTTTCCTCCAATGCCACTTCCTTGCTCCCCAATGCCACGTTCTTTTCCTCCAGTGCCACGTTCTTGCTCCCCAATGGCATGTTCTTGCTCCCCAATGCCGTTCTTTTCCCCCAGTGCCACTTTCTTGCTCCCCAATGCCACGTTCTTTGCTCCCCAATGTCACGTTCTTTTCCTCAAATGCCACTTCCTTGCTCCCCAATGCCACATTCTTTTCCTCCAATGCCACTTCCTTGCTCCCCAAATGCCACGTTCTTTTCCTCCAATGCCACTTCCTTGCTCCCCAATGCCACGTTCTTTTCCTCCAATGCCACGTTCTTGCTCCCCAATGCCACATTCTTTTCCTCCAATGCCACGTTCTTTTCCCCCAATGCCACTTCCTTGATCCCCAATGCCACGTTCTTTTCCTCCAATGCCACGTTCTTGCTCCCCAATGCCACATTCTTTTCCTCCAATGCCACGTTCTTTTCCTCCAATGCCACTCTCTTGCTCCCCAATGCCACGTTCTTTTCCTCCAATGCCACGTTCTTGCTCCCCAATGCCACATTCTTTTCCTCCAATGCCACATTCTTTTCCCCCAATGCCACATTCTTTTCCCCCAATGCCACATTCTTTTCCTCCAATGCCACTTCCTTGATCCCCAATGCCACATTCTTTTCCTCCAATGCCACTTCCTTGATCCCCAATGCCACGTTCTTTCCCCCCAATGCCACGTTCTTGCTCCCCAATGCCACGTTCTTTTCCTCCAATGCCACTTCCTTGCTCACCAATGCCATGTCCTTGCTCCCCAATGGCACGTTCTTTTCGCCCAATGCCACTTCCTTGCTCCCCAATGCCACGTTCTTGCTCCCCAATGCCACGTTCTATTCCCCCAATGCCACTTCCTTGCACCCTAATGCCACGTTCTTTTTCCCCAATGCCACGTTCTTGCCCCCCAATGCCACTTCCTTGCTCCCCAATGCCAAGTTCATTTCCCCCAATGCCACTTCCTTGCTCCCCAATGCCACTTCCTTGCTCCCCAATGCCACGTTCTTGCTCCCCCATGCCACGTTCTTGCTCCCCCATGGCACGTTCTTTTCCCCCCAATGCCACTTCCTTGCTCCCCAATGCCACGTTCTTGCTCCCCCATGCCACGTTCTTGCTCCCCCATGGCACGTTCTTTTCCCCCATGCCACGTTCTTGCTCCCCAATGCCACTTCCTTGCTCCCCAATGCCACTTCCTTGCTCCCCAATGCCTCTTCCTTGCTCCCCAATGCCACGTTCTTGCTCCCCAATGCGACGTTCTTTTCCCCCAATGCGACGTTCTTTTCCCCCAATGCCACGTTCTTGCTCCCCAATGCCACGTTCTTCCCCCCCCCCCCCAATGCCACTTCCTTGCTGCCCAATGCCACTTCCTTGCTGCCCAATGCCACGTTCTTTTCCCCAAATGCCACGTTCTTGCTCCCTAATGCCACGTTCTTGCTCCCCCAATGCCACGTTCTTTTCCCCCAATGCCACTTCCTTGCTCCCCAATGCCATGTTCTTGCTCCCCAATGCCACGTCCTTGCTCCCCAATGCCACGTTCTTTTCCCCCAATGCCACTTGTCACCTCCTTATATGTATACATGGTGTGGCTTCCTTGTTCTTTAATGCCACTTGTCTCCTCCTTATATGTATACATGACGTGGCTTCCTTGTTTTTCAATGCCACTTGTCACCTCCTTATATGTATACATGACGTGGCTTCCTTGTTTTTCAATGCCACTTGTCTCCTCCTTATATGTATACATGGCGTGGCTTCCTTGTTTTTCAATGCCACTTGTCTCCTCCTTATATTTATACATGACGTGGCTTCCTTGTTTTTCAATGCCACTTGTCTCCTCCTTATATGTATACATGATGTGGCTGCCCTTTTTTCAATGCCACTTGTCTCCTCCTTATATGTATACATGACGTGGCTTCCTTGTTTTTCAATGCCACTTGTCTCCTCCTTATATGTATACATGACGTGGCTTCCTTGTTTTTCAATGCCACTTGTCACCTCGTTATTCCACAAACACAAATTACATCCCCACATATTATTCACAATTATACAAATATAAACATGATATGGCTTTCTTGTTCTTCAAAGCCACTTGTCTCCCCCTTTTTCCATATGTACACATGGTGTGGCTTCTTCGTTCCACAACGCCACTTGTCTTCTCCTTTTTCCACAAACACACGTTACATGCATCCCCACGTTATTCGCAATTATACAATTGATGTGGCTAAAAAATTGCCATTACATGTTGCAAAGTACTACATTGATCTCCAATGTTCTCGGTTCTAAAGATAAAATTAGTAACAGTTCAGATTCCAGATTCTTATCATGATGATGGTACTGAAATGTGGAGCGAGTGAGCTATAAATCTTGCTCCTCCATTTTTCTGGCAGCAAAAACAGACATCTAGTTTGATCATCAATATAATATGTTATGAATGTATAAACTGTTAGAAAGTGAGTAGTTGAAGAGAGTTCACTTAAAAATAAAATTATAAGACCTGCGCTGTCTTACTTTAAATAGTCAATCATGCCATTTCAAAACCTCATATATTCTTTTCATGACATGGTGCAGCTCTAAAATATTCTGCAATTCTATTTTTTTTCTTAACTACCGACAACTAAACAAATAAAACAATGATTAGCAATAAGCTGGAGTTGGTAAATAACCCTAGCACAGATAATCTCCAAAAAGGCAAACAGAAGGTTGTTTTGTAGGATAATGTTAAGGGATAGTACTTTCACTATGAAAATGCACAAATGTAACAGGTATACTGCTACACATCCAGTCATCAGAACCAAGTATGATCATCTAATAGAAAAACAGTTTAAAAAAATGCTACAGGGGGTGGGCAGGTGTATTTGACCTGGTACAAATTAAATCAAATCTTTTGACCTTTTGGTATTGCTGACTAGACTATTCAAAGTTAAGACAAGTACTTCGAGAATACTAATAAAAAATTTGTTTTAGTTTGCAAAAAATACTTAACTATACTTAACCATTCTCCACCGAAACAGTACTTTGGATTTCTCAAAAAACTAAACCGCATGACTTTGCATTTCTCTGGTTTGGGCTTCATATCATTCACATTACACCATTCACTCAGCGCATCGATGTGGGTTTGCAGGGAACTTTCTTTCTGAAATGTTCTCCAATTCTAAAAATAAACATTAAAATGATTCTTACATTCTTATCGTTTCGAAGGAGGTAAGGGGTAGTACTTTCACTATAAAAATGCACAGATGTAACAGGTATAGTGCTATAAATCCAGACATAAAAAATAAGTATGATCATCTAAGGGCGCGTTTATAAGCTTAGATTTTGAACGCAAAATGAGCGATTTGTAATGCTCATCGAAAACGCTCATCGTCAACGGCAGTTCCACGGTATACTGTTTATGCTCACTTCTCTGGCTCCTCCAGGCAATTCTCCTTGGGTGGTCTGGCACTGCGCATGCTACGTAGACCATGGTCCATGCGTAGACCTACTAGAGTTCAGTGCGTTGACCCCATTTAAACGCGTTTACAAATTGTAAACGCATCTTTTTGTGAGTTTACGATCGGCGATCATGATCGCCGTTTTTTGGTGATTCTACAAAAGTGAGAAAGGACGCAACCGTGTTTTAAACTAAACGCGTAACAGATGCTTGATTCTGGCCAGAAAATGTTAAGCATAAACACGCCCTAATAGGAACATAGTTACAATGCTGAAGGGGGGGGGGGGGTAGGGCAGGTGTATTTGACCTGGTACATGTGTACATATTAAATCATATCTTTTGACCTTTTGGTATTGCTGACTACACATTTGATAACGCATTTGATAACAATTTTCTGGAGTTCAAAGAAATTGTTGCTATAGAAAATGTTCTAGGATGGATGAAGTAGGGGGGTCAACTTTATGACTTATCTGATTGACACTGTCTTTATTGGTATGCATAAACGTTTTTTGCAGTCTTCAAAGCTAATTTTATAGTCGCGTTCCCTGAAATCAGGGTCTCTTTGCCTTCCAGAAAAACATTCCAGGCCAATAACAATATGCTACGGGCTGCAGGCCATTACTTATTTTTACCTAGACTATAGTTGTCAATTTTCAGAGGGGATCCAAAATTGAGACATGGATTCTTCTTCTTCTTCCGCTTCAAGGTGATGAAGATAATCGCACTGGTTTTGTGTGTGTATATGGAGACTTTCACATATCCTGTTATTCCACATTTTAACTTGTTGTTCTTGTTGTGCAGGTGCATATATACATGTGTAAATTAAAACATTTCCGGTCTTGTAGACATTACATCTGCATCCCACTCAAGAAGACCTTGAAGGCATCGAGAGAGGGGTATTGGGCTGGGTCCTGTGGGAGGTTGTTCCAGTCCTTGCAGGTTCTTGGGAAGAAGGAAGAAGCATAGGTCTGACTACTGCAGTTGAATGTCCTAAAACGAGATCCATGTCCTCTTGTTATTGATGTCAGTTCAGTGAGAAACGACTGCCAGGTAACGTCGACAAGGTTGAAACGGATGCGATACAGCATGGCAAGGCGGCTGTGAAGGCGTCTGGTGAGTAGCAATGGCCAATTCAGGTTTTCAGGCATAGCCGTTACACTGGAGGTTTGATTTAAGTCACTGGTGACGTAGCGAGCACACCTTCGTTGGACCATTTCAATCTTGTTGACATTCCGCTGTGTGTGTGGTTCCCATGCTGTTGCAGCATATTCCACCACTGGTCGGACATATGTAAAGTATGTGGCCTGCTTGATCCGCTGTGTACAGTGTTTGAAGTTCCGTCGCAAGAAGCCGGTCACAGAATTAGCCTTCTTGACTGTAGTATCAACATGGCTATTGAAGTTGAGCTTCTGATCGATGTTGATTCCAAGATACTTGGCGGAACTCACTAATTCTAGGTCGTGCCTGTGGATGTTATACAGGCCTAGGATTTGTTTCCTCTTGTTGGTGACTCTCAGAGTCTGGCACTTGGAAGGGTGGAATTCCATCCGCCACTTTCTCTCCCATTCCTGCAACCTGTCAAGATCTTCGTGAAGATTTGTACAATCTTGGACTGATCTGATGCATCTATATAGCATGCAGTCATCAGCGAATCTTTGAGTGCTTGACACTGTCTGGTAGGTCATTGATGTATATGAGGAAAAGCAGCGGGCCAAGAGCATTACCTTGGGGCACTCCAGATGTAATCTTGGCCTCAAGACTACGCTGGCCCTCCAGTGTGACTTGTTGAGTGCGGCCACTAAGGAAGCTTTCGATCCATTTAAGAGTAGTGCCAAGTATACCATAATAGTCAGCTTTGAGGAGGAGTCGCCGATGAGAGACTTTGTCAAACGCTTTGGCAAAGTCTAACAAGACGCAGTCTATCTGCTCTCTATCATCCAGTCCTTTGACAAGGTCATTGACGGCAAGGATGAATTGTGTTTCACACGATCTTCGCTTCCTAAAACCATGTTGTGAGTCTGACAACAGGTTGTGATTGATCAGGTGATGTATGGCAGCACAATGCACTATGTGTTCACATAGTTTTGATAAGATTGCAGTCAGTGAGATTGGCCTGTAGTTTGCTGGAGATGACTTACACCCTTTCTTGTGGATGGGAACAACATAGGCCTTCTTCCAGTAAGAAGGAATTTCGCCTTGAAGTAGGGAGGCCTCAAAAAGCAAACTAATGGCAGGTGAAATCTGATCAGCTGTCACCTTGAGGAGTCTAGCAGAGATGCCGTCTGGCCCAGTAGCTTTATGCGGCTTCAGTTTCTTCAACAATTTCGCTACACTTGCTCGGCTAACTGATGTATCATCCATGGCTGGATAAGGACTGGGTCCCAGGTCTGGTAGAGCTGTGTCATCATCATCAGTGGTGAACACCGAGGCAAACTGCCTGTTCAGGATACTGGCTTTCTGCTTTGGGTCACAGTGAAGTATGTTGCCTTCCTTCAATGGTGCTACTCCCATGTGATCACAGCTAGCGCATGGTTCTCACAGGGGCTCCAAGACGCTTGTTGCAGCCTGGATCATTGTCAATCAAGTCAGCAAGGTACTTGTTGTAGGCTTGTCTACACAACTTTTGTGTGGTCGTCTTTATAGCGTTGTAGCGATGCCAAGCTTTGATTGTTGCTTTTGCATCACTACCACGCATGGATGAGATCCTCTTAGCCTTCCTATAGGATAAGATTAGTATGTGTGCAGTAGGGACAGTTTTAGCAGTGGCCTTTCATTTGCTTCTGGAGGGGCAATGATTATGCTCCAGAGTTGTGCAATAAGGATAACCTAGGGGGGAAAACTTATTCATTGAACAAGATGCAGTTTCACACTGCAGTGACATTTACAGTAACTACAGCATTACTAACGGATCAACGTATTGAACAATCGTACTGTCATGGGTAAAGTTGACATAACTTTGAATATTACCATTATTAATTAGAGGATCATTATTGCTAGCTATATCAAAAATGTGAGATCCTATATAAGATTTAATTTTTCAAAAAAAAAAACATTTAGTTTTGTC